TTTTGCTCTGAAAAGACAGGCTCATGAAATTCCTTCACATAAAGAAGGTCTTCCATTTTCCCCTTCCACAGCTGATAGTTTGAACTATTCAGCGTGATCATTTTGCTCTGGTTCACCTCCATTGTTCACGTAAATATTAGCAACGCTTAGCTCTGATACCAGTTGTTGGGAAAAAAAATCAGCGCGCGGAATAAATAATTCCTGTGAATAAAACACGTGAACAATAACAAAGAATGGTGAAACAGGCGGCTTAGCCGACCAATATGACGGTTAGTGAAAAAAGGCGACTTAGCCGACCAAGCAAAATAAATTGGGCGGTTCAACCTGCCACTTAAGAAATATAAATAAAATAGGCGGTTCAACCAGCCACTTAAGCGGGAAAATAAACAAGCAAAATAACACCTAATTTTACGTGGAAAAACCCCCAAAAACTATTGAGGGAAAAAACCACGGGACAAACTCCGAAGGGTATTTCACTATATGATAAAATTGTACAGAGTATACACTCAAATATTTTTCTCTCTCTTGGTGTTTCCCATTCCCCCAGGATATGATCACAATCCTGATAAACTCACAATTTTTATCACTCAATGTACTCTCTCTATGGAGCACACTCACACCTAAGCTTAATGCCTAGCTCTCACCCTTTTTTTCTTTTCTTTTCCCGGAGCCCTCTTTTTTTTTGCTCACTTTGGTGCTGCACTCTTTTCATCTTTTTTGCTTGCATTTTTGCCTTGCCATTGCATGGGTATTTATAGGGTAAAAAACCCAACAACCCCGGTGCAAATTTTCTACCTCATTAAATGAGGTTTGGAATAACCATTGTAAATTTCCACAATGGCTGCTGTAGCTTACAGCCTCTTGCAATAGGCTGTGGAAAATGGGCTGGAACTAGAAGCTTCTGCCAACAAATAGATCATCAACGGCAAGACTGGGGTCAAGGCAGCGAGCTTTGGTGAGGAACTTGAGAGCACGAGCCTGCTCCCTAGCGTGACGCGTATTTTCAAGCATTTCAAAGCATCATCTTTGTTCCCGTTCATAATTAAACAAGTAGCAACCAAAAAAATAGACAACTAGGGTAAGAGGAAATAGAAGAATTTACTGCCGGAAATTTAACGGATCTCTATAGCTTGTCAGGCCTGAAGATCGAAATTGGAACGCTAGAGCTCAGATCCCATAAACACAATCACTGTTAATCTAACGTTCCTCGATTGCTCTGGTGGAAATAGCAATTAGATAGATAGCCGGACGGATCGACGTCGACCAGGAAAGCGGGAGGCTTTCGAGAGGGAGAGGGAACCAGGAGTGGAGATGCCAAGTGAAATTGGAATTCTAAATGAAGAACATGACCGTAGATGGAGTGTTTCGGAAAAATAAATAGGAGGCCTCTTTTCTCTAATCGTACCAAGAAAGGCTAAAACTCTGGTTTTGAAATAAAATTTGAATTTTTGGTACAGTAAATACCCCTCTTTTGTCTGCGTTGGAGTATTAAAACCTAAGATGTAGAGGAACATTGCAGAGAGGAAAAAGATCGAAGCTTTCAATTCTTTGTTCTTCTGATTGATCATTGATTGGTCCTTAGAACTCAAGGATACAGAGGTACGAGCCTGCAGAACAGACCCTGTTCAAGTGATGTTGTGATCATTGATTCGCCACTGCTCTCTCATGGCTGGGTAAATAAATAAATAAATAAATATATATATATATATATATATATCTCTCTCTACGCACACCAATGCATATAAAAGAGTCGCATTGAGGATCGGTAGTATTTATTCTGTTAAATGGTGTGCCCTAGATATGGTTGATCATGGGCTTTTTGAGTTCTTGATTTTGAGTAATTTTATTTGCTAAAATCACTTCATGATAATAAGAAATATGATTGGTTGGCTTTCTTTGTAAGTTCAGGTTAGTAACAAATTTGATACATGACTAACTTAGTGATTAATTAGTAAACTTATTTTCAATTGTTTGT